GATTCTTTTTTGTGGGGAAGAAGGATGGTTCTCTGCGACCTTGTATTGATTACCGGGGGTTGAACAACATCACGGTTAAGAATACTTATCCTTTGCCGTTGATGTCTTCAGCTTTCGAGAGGTTGCAGGGAGCGTCTATCTTCACAAAATTGGATTTACGTAATGCATATCATTTGGTTCGCATCAGGAAGGGGGATGAGTGGAAGACCGTGTTTAACACCCCCAGGGGGCACTTTGAATATTTGGTTATGCCGTTCGGGCTTTCCAACTCCCCAGCGGACTTCCAGGCACTCGTCAATGATGTGTTGAGAGACATGGTAGATCAGTTCATATATGTTTACCTGGATGACATATTGATTTTTTCTTCGTCTCTCCAGGAGCACGTTCAACACGTCAGACGAGTGCTTCAGAGGTTGCTAGAGAATGGGCTTTTTGTCAAGGCGGAGAAATGCGCTTTTCATGCACAGTCTGTTCCTTTCCTAGGGTACATAATTTCGTCTGAGGGAGTACGCATGGATCCTGAGAAGGTTAAGGCTGTGGTGGAGTGGCCAAGTCCAGATTCCCGTAAGGCCCTACAGAGGTTTCTGGGGTTCGCCAACTTCTACCGGTGTTTCATTCGCAATTTCAGCCAACTAGCCGCGCCGCTGACTGCCTTGACCTCCCCCCGAACTGCGTTCAGGTGGTCAGACACAGCTGAGGCTGTATTTGCCAAACTGAAAGGCTGCTTTGTTTCAGCTCCCATCTTGATAGCCCCTGATTCTTCACGTCAGTTTGTGGTGGAGGTCGACGCATCAGAGGTGGGGGTAGGAGCAGTTCTCTCACGGACGACAAGATGCATCCCTGCGCGTTTTTGTCTCGTCGTTTATCGCCTGCCGAATGCAACTATGACATTGGTAACGGAGAGTTGTTGGCAGTGAAGTTAGCGTTGGAAGAATGGCGTCATTGGTTAGAAGGGTCGGGGGTACCTTTTATCGTCTGGACCGATCACAAGAACCTGGAATATATAAGAACCGCCAAAAGACTGAACTCCAGGCAGGCTCGGTGGGCACTTTTTTTCGGATGTTTTGATTTTTCTTCTCGTACCGCCCGGGTTCCAAAAACATCAAACCCGATTCTTTATCGCGTATTTTTGACCATTCCGAACGCCCGTCTACTCCCGAGTGCATTTTACCCGAGACCCTATTTGTCTCCACACTCACATGGGAGGTCGAATCGAAGGTCAAGACGGCCTTAGAAGGGGTAACGGCTCCGCCCGGTTGTCCACCAAATCGTTTATTTGTGCCGGAGGGATTACGGTCAGACGTCATTCAGTGGGGGCATTGTTCCAACGTAGCTTGCCATCCAGGAGTTAATCGCACCAGTTTTATGGTCAAGCAACGATTCTGGTGGCCACTTAAGGCACGCGACATTCACAGTTTTGTTTTGGCTTGCTTTGTATGTGCCACTGGCAAGACTTCCAATCGACCCCCAGATGGGTTACTCCAACCGCTGCCTGTCCCTTCGAGACCCTGGTCCCACATTGCGCTAGATTTTATCACCGCCCTCCCACCCTCTCAAGGGTACACGGTAGTTTTGACCGTGGTGGACCGATTCTCGAAGGCGGCTCATTTTATTCCCTTGCCCAAATTACCCTCAGCCAAGGAGACAGCGGTGATCGTTGTAGATCACGTCTTTCGCTTACATGGCCTCCCGATTGACGTGGTTTCCGACAGAGGACCCCAATTTGTGTCCAAATTTTGGCGAGAGTTTTGCAAATCACTGGGAGCGACCGTTAGTCTGTCCTCAGGGTTTCACCCCCAGAGCAATGGCCAGACCGAGAGAGCCAACCAGGATTTGGAGAGAGTGTTGCGTTGTTTGGCCGCCAGGAATCCTTCCTCTTGGAGCCAACATATCTCTATGGTGGAGTACGCCCACAATGCATTACCAGTGTCATCCACGGGCCTATCTCCGTTTGAATCTAGTTTAGGTTACCAGCCACCAATTTTTCCCAGTCTGGAATCCGAAGTCGCGGTCCCCTCCGCTCACGCGTTCGTCCAGAGGTGTCACCGCACATGGACCAGAGCCCGTGAGACTCTGCTCCAAGTAGGGGCGCGCACCAAGGCTAAGGCCGATCGCCACCGGTCAAGGCCACCCGTATACGTCGCTGGTCAAAAGGTGTGGCTTTCTACTAAGAACATTCCTCTCCGTTCCATCTCTAATAAGTTAGCCCCTAAATTCATTGGCCCGTTCACTATCACCAAGATTATTAGTCCGGTGACAGTCCGCCTCAACCCACCTCTAGCGTACAAGAGAATTCATCCCGCATTTCATGTCTCCAAAATTAAACCCGTTTTTTCGATCGCATCTTAATCCGCCTGCTCCGGTTCCCCCCCGCCACGACTCGTAGATGGGAAGCCTACTTATTCGGTTAACCGTATCCTGGACTCGAGACGGAGGGGACGCGGATTCCAGTACTTGGTGGACTGGGAAGGTTACGGTCCGGAGGAGAGAAGTTGGGTTCCTGCCAGGGACATTCTGGATCACTCCCTTATCGATGATTACAATCGACAGGTAAGGGTGTCTGGGAACGCCAGGCGGCGTTCCTAGGAGGGGGGGTACTGTCACGGTTCATGGATTCATTGACTCTCTCTCGCTATGTGTGTGCGTGTTGAGTGAATGGGCCCGGCTCATCAGCTGGCTCGTTTCCACTGATGAGCCGATCAGCGCCAGCTGTTCTGAATGAGGATGTCCTATATATTGTTTGCTCACTCGTCTTGTCTCTGTCAGATGGTTGTGGAGGTTCTCCTGGGTCTGAGCCTTGTCTCCTGTTCCAGTCCTGCTTCTTCGACGCTTTCCCGAGGATCTTCTTCTCCACGCAGATCTGCATTCCGCCCACTGAGTCCCTGCGTTACCGAGTCTGCCCGAGTGTGTTCCGAGTCTGCCTGAGGATTATCTGCCACTTCCACTCTGAGTTTGTCTGAGAACTGTCAACTATTCATTTCACTGTGCGATCCTTGTGGATGCCGCCTGTCAAATTGAGTCTCTTGTCTTCTCTTTTGACTAATAAATACTTTTTCACTCGCATCTGAATCCCTTGACTATTTTCCAGCGCACCATGACAAGCCCAGTCCGTTTTCTTTCGTTTTGAATTGTTCTGTTTACAAGTAGACATTTCAATATAGATATATTTCTCAGGTCTGTGAAGTAGGCTACCTTATACGCTGAGTTTCGGTTCATTTATGAGACGCGCTCCAGTTCACGCGCCGGCACCTCCGTGTCGTGATTATCTTGTCTGCTATATTTACTTCTTATTTATTAAATCCAGGCAATTGGTTGATGAAACATTGATTAAAAATAAGATTCAATTAGTACAAATCGAAATTCACTTTAAAGAAAGGCTTTGTGTCTTCTGTTTGAGGTCTCTGTTAAAGTTTTAAATCAGTATTTTAGTGCCGCTTCAGAGCGCTCAGGTCCTTACATTGTTTTTTCCTCATAAATGCGAACACGAAAAATAAAATAAAATGAATATTTTATGTTCTGTGGAGAGCCAACCCTTCTTTATCCGGTGGGTAGTATTACTTTTGATTTGCACAGTGTAATTCACAGAATTACAAATAAAATATTTTGCCTCCTAAAAGTTAAATATTTGTTTTGTCACGCATGAATGCGTGTGTAGCCTATTTCCCTCATATAAATATAAAACGCATGTGTAGACTGATATGTTTCTAATGTCTGGACTCCTTTAAGGGGGTATGGATAAACAGACTTTTCAATATCCTATTGGTAGCCTATTAAATGCATTTTCTGAGAATTTATAGGCCTGTTTCAAGTTTTGACTGCAAATGTCACGTCCATAATGCTGGAATTCCCCAATTTTAAATAATCTATCCTCAACTAGTTTTGTTGTGTTGGTCCACGTATTTTATAATGTTAACTTCAAAATTCTAATAATACTTTAAAGATGTGGTAGCATTGGATCTGGACGGGAAGGATAACTCTTGGAGTTGGAAGGGGTGTGTCGCGATTCTTTGGGTTCGTGGATCTGAGTGTCGTGATTTTGGTTTCATATCACATATCGTTACAGCTACATATCTTTCCTCTCTCCGCCTCCATCTCTACCTGCAGACTGAGCTCGTGCGTCATCTTCGTGCCAGTTATTTAGCCAATAAAGTGTAGGCCTATGTATTTCATAGAAAATTGTGTCTAGTAGCTGTTGCATGTCCGATGAATTACACAGCAACTGCCATTTGTGAATGCAATGCTTTTTATTAACAGCTCTACTTGACAACACGATCCCGTGTATACAACTGCCCACGTCTGTGTGTGTGTTCCGTACATGCGCATCACGGGGGGTGGGGGGGGGGGTTTGGGGGGGCAGACGTTTTTAAAGAGCCCAGCACATTTAAAGTAACATGTTAATAATACACAAATTATATTGTACTTCTGTACAGATCATTTATCACAATGATCTACATCCCTTTCCTTTAGCTGAAACTACCAATCGTAGAAAGAGAATAAACATACTTAACAACGATCAATACTGTAGTATGAAATTAACTTAATCAAACATCCAAGAACATGAATGACCCTTGTAACAATGTGTCCTTTGCAGTGAACAACTGTACAAATGCAAATCAACAGATGCAGATCGAAACTCTGCTACAGGAAGGATGTGGCGTTGGTTCCTCCTGTATGTTCTCCCATTGCATTGGATGGTGTATGAGCGAGGCTCCTTGTTCACCTCTTTTACCGTGCCAAGGTGCTCATATCCTTTTGGCGTTTGCATTCTGACAATTTGTCCCTCTGCCAATGGCTGCAGAGGATGACTTGATGTATCGAAGTATCGCTTTTGGGTCATCCTCTTTGCAAGAAGTTGTGCAGTGACTTGCTTGGTACATTTTGGAGCTGGCTCTAACAGTCTAGAGTTAACAGGAATGGCTGACCGTGTCTGTCGTGACAACAGGCGTTGTGCAGGAGAACCCAATGTTGGGTCACGAGGAATGTTTCTCAGATTCAGGAGGTTAAGAAACACGTCCGTGCCATCTCTGTGGGATTTCTTCATCAGCTCTTTCTGCCAGACCATTCGACTGTGGGTACTCTGGACTACTGGTGACATGAATGAAGTCCCACTGTTTGGCAAAGTCTCTGAATTGCTGACACGTGTACTGACTAGCATTATCAGAAATGAGTGTATGAGGTGTGCCGTGCACTGAGAAATGCCTCTTTAGTTTCATGATTACAGCTGATGACGTTATGTTGCGGAGAAAGTCAATCTCATACCAACCCAAGTATGAGTCCACAAGCACCAGATAATTTTGTCCATGCCACTCGAACATATCTGTTGCCACCGTGGACCAAGGCAGGTCTGGAACTGGGTATGGTCTTAATGGTTCTTTTTGTTGGTGCGGCTTTGTGCTGTTGCAGACTGAGCATGAGAGGAGTTCTGCCGTGATGTCAGCCGTCATCGTTGGCCAGAAAATAATACCTCTTGCTCTGTGTTTGGTAGCGTCCAGCCCTGGGTGGCCTCTGTGGACTATTTCGATATATTCTCTCTGCAATGAGCGAGGAATGACTGTTTTGTGGCCTTTCATCACTATTCCGTTTTCCACAGCTAGCTCATCTCTGTAGGGAAAGTACGGACGCACAGTGGGCCACACGCCATGTTCTTTAATTGGCCAACCTTGTTGAATCACAGTGCTTAGATCCTGTAACACATCATCCTCCGCTGTATGCTTTCTGAGTTCCACCAGTCTAGCAGTGGAAATGTAGTTGATAGACATGACCCCGAATGTGTCATTTTCACTGTCTGGTTGGACTTGAGTGTCTGGAGCTCTAGATAGGGTGTCTGCAAGGTACATGAGCTTACTCTTCTTGTACACCAGGGTGATGTCATAGCACTGTAACCTGAGCATCATCCTCTGTAATCGTGCAGGAGCTGTGTGGATTGGTTTTTTCAGAATAGTTACCAGGGGCTGGTGGTCCGTCTCAACGAGTGTAGGTTTCCCATATACATAGTCCCTGAACTTTGTACAGGCAAATACGACGGCTAGCAGCTCCTTCTCTATCTGCGCATACCGTGTCTCTGTGTCTGTGAGTGTGCGAGACGCATACGCAACTGGTTTTCCCTCCTGCATGCATGCAGCACCCAGCCCGAAGCTGGAAGCATCACAGGTTAACGTAACTGGCTTCTTCACGTCGTTATATGATAACACGGGTGGAGTGGACAAACATGACTTGAGGGTGTCAAATGCTTGTTGGTGTTGCTGGTACCAGCACCATACTGTCTCTTTGTGTGTCAGCTTTCTGAGGGGCGCAGCAATGTCGCTGAAGTTTGGGATAAATTTCCCCAGATAATTTACTATTCCGAGGAAGCGCTGTAATGCAAGGACATCCTTCGGGGCTGGCATCTCAGGAATTGCTTTTGTTTTGGAAGGATCTGCTTTTAGGCCTTCTCTTGTAAAGATATGGCCCACATAGCTGACTTGGTCCAGCCGAAATTTGCATTTGACAGGGTTTAGCTTGAGTTTGAACTCACGTGCTCTGTTCAAAACCCTTTTCAGGTTGATGTCATGTTCAGCAGGGTTGCGACCTCCGATGATGATGTCATCAACAATAATCGCACAGGGGTACCCTGAAAAGAGCTGCTCAATTGAGCGCTGGAACACCTCGCTTGCGGAGTTAATGCCAAAGGGCATACGGAGAAATCTATAGCACCCAAATGGAGTGCTAAATGTTGTCATCATGGAGGACTTGTGGTGGAGGCGTACCTGCCAGAAAGAGCTCTTTGCGTCTAGCACGGAAAATACGGTTGCTCCCGACATCCGAGATGCTACTTCCTCTGCGCTGCGCATGGGGTGATGGGGTCTTTTTAAAGCCATGTTAAGATCTTTGGGGTTAATACAAAACCTGATTTCTTGCCTGTCCTTTTTGTGTGTAACCACCATGGACGAAAGCCAATCCGTCGGCTCTGAGACTGCCGTTATGACGCCAAGGCTCTGCATGCGGTCCAGTTCTGCTTTGACACGGCTTTGCATTGCCAGAGGAATGCGATGAGCAGGGCGAACTACTGGCTGCACGCTGGGGTCTACTGTCATAGAATACGTAATTGGAAGTTCTCCGAGCTGGTCAGTAAATAAGTCCTTGTACTCTGTAAGAATATCTCCGGTGCTGCCCTCCATACTGACATGATGCACATCTGGGCTGATTGTAACGATCGCCATGTCAAGGCATGCACGGAATCCCAACAGCGGTTGAACATCTTGATCCACCAAAAAGAATGACAGTGGATAATTTTGCCCATTTAGGCTACATTGCAATGAGACCAAGCCTTTTGTTTCAATTTTAGCTCCACCATAAGCTAGAAGGTTAGGTGTCTCTGAATGTTTCGCTGGCCGTTCGTTGTTGGCAATTTGTTCGAAAGTCTTTTGTGAAATTACGTCACATTTTGCCCCAGTGTCAACTTTCATCTCGATTGGAGTTTTGTTTATGTGTACAGTGACAAATCCCTTCTCCAGCACTGGCATGTAAGGGTTAACAACGTTGACACACTTGTCAAATTTAATGCCATCAACATAAAAGGTGTCATCATGGTCAGGGGGTTTGTATACCTCAAGTTCATGTACCGCTTTCCTGTGATTAAATTTCTTCTGACCAAATTGACTGCATGCTTTGCAACATTTCTTGTAGTGATTCATTTTCTTGCAGTTATGACATTGTTGTCCGATAGCAGGGCATTTTTCTTTCTTTGCTGCATGATTACCTCCGCAATTTCTGCAATTGGTTATAGTTGAATCATGTTGTTCTGTTCTTTGTTTATGTTTTGTGTTTTGGCGCCACCTGCTGGAAAATGGCTGTATTGCATCAACGTTAGTTGCAGTCTGAGGTAGGCTAGCCAACGTCTTATTATTTTCTTCTGTCATTTCATGTATGCGACAAATTGAGATTGCTTTGATCAGAGTTAATTCGCTGTCTCTTAGCAGTACTTTCCTTAAGCTTTCATTGTTGATGCCACACACAATCCGATCACAGATCAGCTCATCTGTCAATTCTCCAAAATGACAACTTTTAGCTTTAATCCTGAGATCACTGATGAAAGCCTCAATAGCCTCACCTTGTTTCTGATTCCTTGAGTGAACAGACGTTCTTAAAGAGCCCAGCACATTTAAAGTAACATGTTAATAATACACAAATTATATTGTACTTCTGTACAGATCATTTATCACAATGATCTACAGTAGCTACTATATAAATTACAAAGATTTAATTGACATCTTTATTTCAAACGACCTGACCGACCGCGACCCGAATATCATTAAAAATATTTTTGGATGACTCGTAACCGCAGGCACCCGCTCATTTTGGATCAACCCGCGCATCACTGGTGTGCATATCTGTTTTACACAATTATTTTTGTTTTGAAATAAAAGTTATCACTGGTATGAGTTTGTTTTTTTGAGTTGGTATGCATAATATGGGATACAGAGATTGACAATGTAGCCTACTGTATGCAGTTGGTTTAACTTCAAACTACTTTATTGGCATAAATGTTTTATCATATATAATGCACAAAAATAAAAAAGAACTATTACAGAGGAATGATTAAAATAAGAAATATATAAGGTGCCATTAATGTTAACAGTAATTTTGTTATTTACACAGTAAAGTGCAACAGAATTAGCCTGGTTAAAACCAGACCATTCTCAGTTGTAACTGAGTTATGGTCTGGCAAAGCTTCATAGACAAATCATTTCCAAAGGGGCGTCACCAACGGACATAGCTCAAATGCCTCTGGGTGCAATTGGATAGACCTAAAAGCAATCAGAGCTGAAGGAGATGACGTATGCAGAGCGACGTTCGTCTGTTATAGAACAACTTAGTTTGAATAAACAAGCAGACACTGATTAGCTACTCGCTCTACGTTTATTTAAAATTAACAACAAGACAACTAGAAGTGAATGTGCTTTCCATTAAATAAATCACACACAGTAAACAAAACATTAACAAAAAAAATGTTTGCAATGAACTTTGCAATTTAGACCCGCAAACTGGGTGCCGGTGCGGTGAGACGTACATGATTCGGTTTGAAGTCGTTCATCCTCGGACGCGCCGCCGCGCGCGCTGTTACAAAAAAAGCCGTGCACACAGCCAAGCGAAATGGGGTCTTGCCAGTCTTGCGCACCGAACGCGTCATTTTTGCCGCGCGCACCTTCGTGCTTGTGGGGACGCGTCAAGTATAAACAAGGCTTTACTCCGTGTCAGCGCGCGCTCTGATCGGTAAAGGGGCACAGACCTCTCCCGAATCATCTCCAGCAGTAGCAGCCTCCGAAGCACCACTAACTCCGCCTCCGTTTCCCTCGTAAGCTGATATTAGTATTTAAACATTCTCTATGATAAAAAATGTTTGTGAAAAAAATATTTTAATAACATGGTTTTGCCGGTTATAGAGTTCTAATGACGGTGTTCAACTATAACCGTCACACCCCTAGTTCAGTCGCTGCTGATTGGTGCCGCGATTTCCACGGATTAGAAATGGGCTTGAATGAGCTCTTTGCCAGACTAACTTGCAGAGTAAATCTAAATTTGCCTGGGTTTTCCCAGGCTACAACAGAATGTGAAAAACTTTCAAAATACTACAGATATTACACAATATATACTCTGTAATTCAAGTTTACCTTAGATCAGGCATAGTTAAAACTATGGATATGCGCTCTACTCCTTTATGCTGCTTTCATTATTACTTTAGAGTTTTTTTAATACTCTTTATTAAAGTATTACCTGTTATCAGCGCGATATGGCCCATGCGTTTTAAACATCGCATTTCCTTTTTACCGTGGCGTCGACGTCATTACTGTGCCACTAACCAATGAGAAGCGTTATGGGTGCCCCAGGTGCACCCCCGCCCCGATCTGCAGGCTGCAGCCAGGTGTACTTGTCACAAATAGTGAAAGTATGTTCTCCTGTCGCCATTTTAAGCAGGAAAAATACGAAATACGATACGGAAAAAACAACAGAGCATCAAAGTGTTTATCAACGTTTAAGAAGGAATTTACGTGTAGTTTTATGATGTTAAAGCTGGAGGATTTCAGATCGTGTATCTTATAAAAGTTTGATCAAGGTGAGTGTTCATGTGTGACTTCTCATATTAATATGAATCTCTGGAGGACATTTTACGTGATTGTTTGATATGAAACCTTTAATAAAGGGGTTCTTTCACTTCAATGTTTCCTTTGTGTTTCTTCAGAAGTTTAGTTTATGTGTAAACATTCATTGGCCAATTCACACAAGCGCCAACAAACTCGTTTTTATTTTATTTTATTTAATCGGATCAGAGTCTGTCGATGTGTGTCGGGGTTTGTTTTCTTTTTCACCCGAACATGTTCAATCAGCGTTTCTCGGTGTCCTTTATTTTTCAAAAAATTCTAAATCCAGGTCGACTTGTTTGTGTGTGTGTGTGTGTGTGTGTGTGTGTGTGAAAAGGCCCAATTAGCTTGAGTTAACGCAGTCACGTGATCCTTTTTCTTCCAAACACTCCAGATGTGTTCAGCTAAATTATGAATGTTATTACAAATATTATTATCATTTAATTTGGTGTGTGAATGTTTCTTCATCAGAGTCAGTGGAGGAGATCAAACTCATCAGATTCTCCTGCATCTTCCCCCCCCCCCATATCATAAAGATCAATGAACACAGTAATCTAAAGTATTAAACTGAATCTGTTCTCTGTTCCAGTTCAGTCCAGCAGAAGAGCTCAAACCCAGAGTCCAGCTGTGTGTCTGTGAAGAGTAACAACTCTATGGATCCGCCAGTAAAGTTTAAGAATGGAGACAAACGGCCTGATCTCAGGTATCATTTCTATAAAAGATGTGCTTATAGTATGACACTTTTGAATTTATTAAATCAATTTATTAAATTAATTAATCAAAGTCAGTTGGTCTAATACTAACAATGACATCAAGTAAATGTAAGCTGAGATTTCTTCTACCTTTATATAATGATTTTTCTAACTGCTGGTTCAGATTTGTTGAGAGCTTCACAGTGTCTGGTTTCACAGCAAGAGTACTGTTACTCATGGTGTTTCCCAAGACAGAAGATTACTGTAAAAGTGCACAACATTTATAAGTCTGGATGCTTTTTATTTTACTTAGTTTTAAAACCAGTTCAGTCCAGCAGAAGAGCTCAAAACCAGAGTCCAGCTGTGTGTCTATGAAGAGTGACCACTCTATGGATCCGCCAGAAAAGTTTAAGAGTGGAGACAAACGGCCTGATCTCAGGTATATCATTTCTAAAAGTTATGTTTATAGTATTTGATTTTTATGAAATTGCTAATATACAAAAGAGAGTCATACGAATTATATTTAAAACAGATTATAGAGAGCATACAAATGCCTTATTTTTTTGCTCTAAATTGTTCAAATTTAAAGAATTGGTCGAATTACGAACACTTATTGTTATGTTTAAAGCAAAAGACAGAGTATTGCCCACAAACCTTCAACACTTGTTTATCCTTAAAATGAAGGAAGAGGAAAGGGACATTTTAGGTATCAAACTGCAAGGACAACAGCAAAACTAATGTGTACTTCAGTGGTTGGAGTGAAAGTTTGGAAATCTTTGCAAAATGAACTAAAGCAATGTAAAAATATATTTCAGTTTAAAAAAAAGATTTAAAGAGAAAACAATGGATTTGTATGAACACTTATAGAAGTTGATGATGATGATTATGATGATGTTTGTGATCATGGTTTGCTTTTGTTTTGGATGAATATTTATAGAAATTGATGATGATGGTTCTGATCATGGTTTGCTTTGGAAATCTGTTTCAGGTTGATGTTTTGGTTTCTAGTCTGTTTCATTAGTTATCATCGTGTATTGACGGGGACTTGATATGGAGTCTTTTGATATGTTGAATTTTTTTTTTTGTTTGTTTTTTTTTTTGTGGAGGGGGGCAGGAAATATAAGATATTCTTCATCCTGCCTCCTTTTCATCATGGTATTATAAATTACATAAATGTAATTTAGTAAGTCAATGGAAAATATCCATGAATGAAATAAACATAAACACACAATATACAGCAGTGTAATGAGTTATAATCCTGTAAGATTCATTCTATTAATGATTATCATTGTGCTCTTGTGTAAAGCTCCATGTATTGTATTGTTAATACATTCACACACTGTAAACGCTGTTGGTCTGTTACTCAGTTAATGACACAATTACATCAATATCAGTGTGTCTGATTCTTTACCCTCTTCATTCTGATTTAAGGTCAAATCTTCCATCCAGACCAGTTAAAAACAAAACTGTGTTCATGCCTGTGATTCAACCACAAGACTTTAATGAAAGCATGTATCCTGGTTTCAGGTAAAATGCAGGACTTTTTGCTGTTGTTGTTTAATTTTAGGTGCTGCAATTCACATCACTCATCACTCAAACACACGATTAATTATTAAAAAATTTCAGAAACCTAATGATGAACTCGAGCTGCGTGAAAACGCTGTGGGAACGCCCTGCGTTAGTGCGTCATGAAGCACGTATGGAATCAGTCCAATGGCGAGACGGAACGTCATAGGCGGGTGACGTCACCGACCAGGAAACTATAAAGCACCCCAAAAACACAAGCGCGTCAGCTTCTGTTACTTCAGCAAGCGCTCTGTGTGTGAATCATTGTCCAGTGTTTTTTGTCTGTCTTTAGTGATTGCTAGGCAGGAGTTTTCACATATAAAAAAAACATATATACACTCACCTAAAGGATTATTAGGAACACCATACTAATACTGTGTTTGACCCCCTTTCGCTTTCAGAACTGCCTTAATTATACGTGGCATTGATTCAACAAGGTGCTGAAAGCATTTTTTAGAAATGTTGGCCCATATTGATAGGATAGCATCTTGCAGTTGATGGAGATTTGTGGGATGCACATCCAGGGCACGAAGCTCCCGTTCCACCACATCCCAAAGATGCTCTATTGGGTTGAGATCTGGTGACTGTGGGGGCCATTTTAGTACATTGAACTCATTGTCATGTTCAAGAAACCAATTTGAAATGATTCGAGCTTTGTGACATGGTGCATTATCCTGCTGGAAGTAGCCTTCAGAGGATGGGTACATGGTGGCCATAAAGGGATGGACATGGTCAGAAACAATGCTCAGGTAGGCCGTGGCATTTAAACGATGCCCAGTTGGCACTAAGGAACCGAAAGTGTGCCAAGAAAACATCCCCCACACCATTGCACCACCACCACCAGCCTGCACAGTGGTAACAAGGCATGATGGATCCATGTTCTCATTCTGTTTACGGCAAATTCTGACTCTACCATCTGAATGTCTCAACAGAAATCGAGACTCATCAGACCAGGCAACATTTTTCCAGTCTTCAACTGTCCAATTTTGGTGAGCTCTTGCAAATTGTAGCCTCTTTTTCCTATTTGTAGTGGAGATGAGTGGTACCCGGTGGGGTCTTCTGCTGTTGTAGCCCATCCGCCTCAAGGTTGTGCGTGTTGTGGCTTCACAAATGCTTTGCTGCATACCTCGGTTGTAACGAGTGGTAATTTCAGTCAAAGTTGCTCTTCTATCAGCTTGAATCAGTCAGCCCATTCTCCTCTGACCTCTAGCATCAACAAGGCATTTTTGCCCACAGGACTGCCGCATACTGGATGTTTTTCCCTTTTCACACCATTCTTTGTAAACCCTAGAAATGGTTGTGCGTGAAAATCCCAGTAACTGAGCAGATTGTGAAATACTCAGACCGGCCCGTCTGGCACCAACAACCATGCCACGCTCAAAATTGCTTAAATCACCTTTCTTTCCCATTCTGACATTCAGTTTGGAGTTCAGGAGATTGTCTTGACCAGGACCACACCCCTAAATGCACTGAAGCAACTGCCATGTGATTGGTTGATTAGATAATTGCATTAATGAGAAATTGAACAGGTGTTCCTAATAATCCTTTAGGTGAGTGTATACAGTATATATATATATATTCACATATATCATGGCGAGCGAACAGCAATATAGAAAGTGTGTTCCCCCCTGTACTCGTAATCTCATGGGTGGGGATACACACGATCTATGTTTTGTTTGTTTGGGAGTGCAGCATGCCCAGTCAGCTCTCGAGGGGGCTGATTGCGAGCATCGCGAGGGTTTTCCCCTAAGAACACTCCGCTCCCGCCGATCACTCTTCGAGGAGAGTGGTTCGGTTCTCGCTCCCCGCGGTTCGGGTCCCGCTTTTACCGAGGCAGAGCGGCGGCGTCATTCGTGGGGATCGCAAATGGATCTAACAGCGGGGTCTGAGACGGGCTCTGCCTTATCTCAGCCTTTACCTGTTTGTTAGATCCAGTGCCTCAGATCTGGTTTCGGAAGCACGCGCTGCGGTTTCTTCCGACCAGGCTGAGGCACCAATACTTCCGAGGAGCTGGATGTTGAAAGTATTGATACAGTGGAGACTGGGGACTCGTCAATTCAGTCTCCAGCTTGTGAGGAGCTTATGGAGGTGCTCACTCGAGCGGTTGAGAAATTAAGCATCGAGTGGCCAGCTGACAGGCAGGAGTCCAGATCTAAAAGTAAATTAGATGAAAGATTTTTGCCTTCCCGTACTACCTACTCCACGCCGGTCTCTGCCGTTCTTTCCAGACCTCCATACTGAGGTGTCGAGGTCTTGGAAAAGACCTGTATTTTCCCGTATATTTAGTCAGCAAACTTCCACATATTCCAATATAGCTGGGGCTAAACTATATGGGTATGGGGCGATGCCTAAGGCTGAGGAGACACTCGCTAACCATCTCTCTCCTGAATCGGCATCGTCCTTTAAGACACCGGCGTTGCCCACCAAGCCCTTAAAGGTTGTATCAGCGATTTCAGGCCCAAAAATAAATGATCACCTTCATCTAATCTTTCCTAACGATACGCTAGCTACCCGCCCCATAAGCAGGCCGTCAAAAAAAAACACGTCTCTGTAGGCAGCCTAGGCTCTGAGATCTGCACACAAAAACATTGGTTTCACCAACCACTCAAAACCAAAATAAATAGTATTCCAACCAATCACCGACAAGGGGTCTCACAACACCCGCCCCCCTGTCGGTGAAGAGGATCTATGACATCTGGAAGCATCTCTTTCAGTAGCTTAGTCGGAATAGGGTCTAACATACAAGTTGTCAATTAAGATGAATTAAAGAGTTTGCTAAATTCTTCCTCTCCTATAGCAACAAATGAATCAAATTTTTCCTCAGGGAGACTACAATGCACTCCCTGATGCGATACTGTAGGAGACGGTTGCATAGTTATAATTTTGTCCCTGATTTTATCAATCTTATAAGTGAAGAAGTTCATAAAGTCATTACTTCCGTGTTGCTTTTAAACTTTTGGGCTTGAAGCTTTCATTTTCGTTAGTTTAGCCACTGTTTCACATAAATACCTAGGATTATGTTTATTTTCTTCTAATAGGGTTGAAAAATAAGAATATCTAGCAGCTTTTAAGGAGATCACTTGCTTCAGTCTATCAGAAGCTGACACGCTTGTGTTTTTGGGGTGCTTTATAGTTTCCTGGTCGGTGACGTCACCCGCCTATGAGGTTCTGTCTCGCCATTGGACTGATTCCATACGTGATTCATGACGCACTAACGCAGGGCGTTCCCACAGCATTTTTACGCAGCATCTTGTTCCCATCAGGGAACTAGGGTTACATACGTAACCAGAGACGTTCTGTGTCCCTTAATGCAGCAAACATAAAATGTTTTAATTTATGGCTATTTACTTCTCTAACTTAATAACTGTAATAATGTGGTATTTTAATCTTACAGCCATGACTCTAAACCTGCTGAAGTCCTCAACACATTGAGATCAAATCTGAGAAGGAAGTTTGAGTGTTTGTATGAGGGAATATCAAAGCAGGGAAACCCAACACTCCTGAATGAGATCTACACAGAGCTCTACATCACAGAGAGTGGAAGTGGAGAGATCAATAATGAGCATGAGGTGAGACAGATTGAGACACAGTCCAGGGGAGCAGAAACAGAGGACACACCGATCAAATGCAGTGACATCTTTACACCTTTACCTGGACAAGACAAACCCATCAGAACTGTGCTGACAAAGGGAGTCGCTGGCATTGGAAAAACAGTCTCTGTGCAGAAGCTCATCCTGGACTGGGCTGAAGGGAAAGAGAATCAGGACGTCCAGCTCATATTCCCACTCGCTTTCAGAGAGCTCAACTTGATGAAGGACAAAACACTCAGTCTTTCAGATCTTCTTCATCGCTTCTTCCCTGAAACCAGAGAAATGGCCATATCCAGTGATGAGTATAAAGTGCTGTTCATCTTTGATGGTCTGGATGAGTGTCGTCTGTCTCTGGATTTTCAGAGCGATGTGAGGTTGTGTGATGTGACTGAATCAGCCTCAGTGGACGAGCTGCTGACGAACCTCATTGTGGGGAATCTGCTTCCCTCGTCTCTCATCTGGATCACCTCCAGACCAGCAGCAGCGGATCTCGTCCCCTCTAAGTGTGTCCATCGAGTGACAGAGGTACGAGGCTTCAGTGACACACAGAAGCAGGAATACTTCAGGAAGAGAATCAGTGATCAGAGTCTGGCCGACAGGATCATCTCACACCTGGAGTCCTCAAGGAGCCTCTTTATTATGTGCCACATCCCAGTGTTCTGCTGGATCTCAGCCACTGTTCTAGAGGAGATGTGCAGTGAAGCAGAGAGAGGAGAGATTCCCAAGACTCTCACTCAAATGTACACACACTTCCTGATCATTCAGACCAACATCAAACATGAGAAGGACTATAAGAAAGTGAAAGACGAAGACATGATTGTCAAACTGGGGGAACTGGCGTATCGGCAGCTTGTGAAAGGCCACCTGATCTTCTATGAGGAAGACCTGAGCGAGTGTGGCATTGATGTGACAGAAGCATCAGTTTACTCAGGATTGTGCACTCAGATCTTCAGAGAGGAGTTGGGCTTGTGTCAGGGGAGAGTCTTCTGCTTTGTTCATCTGAGCATTCAGGAACATCTAGCAGCTCTATATGTGCATCTCTCCTTTATCAACAGTAACATCAATGTGTTTGACCAGATTACCAAACCAACTAATGGAGGCAAAGTGTCACTATCTGATCTCCATCAGAGAGCTGTGGATGAGGCTTTACACAGTAGAAATGGGCATCTGGACCTTTTCCTTCGTTTCCTTCTGGGTCTGTCAGTGGAGTCTAATCAGAGTCTCTTACAAGAACTAAAGACACAGACAGCAAACAGCTCTCACAGCAATGAGGAAACAGTTGACTATATTAAAAAGAAGATCAGTGAGAATCCCGCTCCAGATAAATACATCAATCTGTTTCACTGTCTGAATGAACTGGGTGATCTTTCTCTAGTGAGCGAAGCTAAACCTCATACGACTGGAGGATTACGTGATGTGAAACTCTCCTCGTCTCTGTGGTCAGCTTTAGTGTTTGTGTTGTTGTCCTCAGAGGAGACACTGCATGAGTTTAACCTGTACAACTTAATTGGAGCCAGAAATGATCGGTAAGTAACACTGAGTACAATCATTACAGTCTAAAACATTATGAACAAAGAGAAACTATGAGATCAGAGGTGTTTAAATCACGGGCACGGATTCATTTCTGGGAAATTGTACATAATTTGCGGGTGTTTCTCAAACCGTGACTGTGTCCTAGTAAGGCTGCATATCTCGACTGCCACGTCATCAGGCGAAGGCCTTCTCAGTTTGAAGGATGTTTTGAAGACGGACTTCATTTTGTGTCTTTAGTTCAGCTCATTTTGAAGGATGCATCAAGTGTATCCTTCGTGTTCTTCAATCTCCCACAATTCTTTGCACACATTCCAATTCACGTAAAAGAACTGATGGAAAACGAGTGGACACTGAGTTCATCTGAGTTCATAATGAAATGTTATGACACAAATAATATATTTGGAGATGAAGGCATACATGTTATCTTTTCTTTCGGTGTAAATTAATCACTGAACACTAAACTGACAATAATGTAAGACACTGGGAGACACAGATGGCTGTCATTCACTACTGCATTAATAAAACCAGTTAATATAAAGATATTTAATAGAAAGTATTTTTCCAAAGTTTGTTTTTGTGCCGTGACCGTGGGGCGGGAACATGTGTGACGTAGCCATGCAAACTTACTAGAGCGTCTCATTCTAGTGTTTAATGCTGAGGACTCAAGTCTACAAGCCTCAGAAGGACACGTGTAACTTCATTTTCCAGTTGAGTGCGCGAGCCTTTCAAAATGAACTCATTTGACCGCTGTGTGCACCGTCTGCACCATCACTAAAATTGGGCTGCAAGCGGATCCTCCTGATGATGACAATTACGTCACGTGGACGGCCAAAGTAAACTTGATAAAACAGTTAATCGCCTTGATGCCGTTCCTGGTGGCCGATTGGCTCTTCACAGTGGCGTAGCGGACGGGCACGCAGGGCATATTACATTATTGTATATATTATTATTTGGCTACTTTTATCATTAATATTGCAATTCATTTGCCACGCAATAATTTCATAGTCCATCACCGCATAACTGACGCACTGTGAGGATAAAAGATTAGATTAGCTTACTTCTCATTTCAAAGGCAACTTGTTGAACACAAAACACTTCTTGATTCATGAAAATACGCATTTTTTCACTAGGGGCCACAAGAGAAGTATTAAGAAAATAAATTAGATTAATGTCTCATCATCATTTTTCTTTATCACCGGTTACTTGCAAAATGATGGACAATGATTCACATTTTCTGTCAATTATTAAATAAACAAGTAGGTAAATAAACAAGTAACAAGCAAACAAACCTGTGTGGTTAATTTCTACAAATAATTTGCTGATGCTATACAAAAGGACATTTTATAAGCTTTTTATGATTTTATATAACCATAGGAACGGACAGGACAAAAAAATCTGATTTGTCAAAATAGTGTTGAAGTGTAAATGCAGACTAATAGACCTGCCACAGCAACATTGACAAGAAAAAGAAAAAAACAAATCTGTGTTGCTGAATACGATTAGTAGCTTCTACAGTTATAGATACTAAAACAACTTTCTCACATGTCCTTTATAAAGCAGTGTTTAATTAAATAAATATTTGAGGTTATTAAGGAAGGTATAATGTATTATTTACTTATGATATGAATTATTATTATTATTGTTAGCATGAATAATGAACTTATTTATATTTTATTTTCAATTAGTGTCACACAAAACTCAGCAGATAAAGTTCTTCAGAAGCTGCTGCCAGTGGTTACAGCAACTAGATCAGCTCGGTAAGTAACACTGAGAACAAGCATCACTGTTAAAACATTATAACAGTTCTTACTTAAACATTATAAATGAATGATTTAACAAAAAATATCTTCTGCTTTTAAATCCTCCACCTATCTGACCTGATTTGTGATCTACTTAATTGTTTATGATATTTGTGAGAAATTTATTTTCAAATAAACATTTATATTTAATGTATGTAATGTATTCAATGAATTCCATTTTATCAGTTTTATATAATCTTTCTCCCTCACATAGAGATATAATCTCTTAGAATAACAGTTAAACGTACTGATATATTGAATTAATTGTTTAAAAAAGAGATTTTGCACTAATTATAAGATTATAATAATTTATTATTAATTATAATATAACAATATATATCCCCTAATCCTAACTGATGTATTTTCACAATGTGAACTAATGAGTATTTGTATATATTTAATATTGACAGCATTATGTTATTTATTTTTTAAGTGTCATGTTTATCTCTGGATATAGGCTTAATGTGTGTCATTGTTCTCTACAGGTTGAGGGATTGTGGTGTGACAGATGAAGGTTGTGCTGCTCTGGCTTCAGCTCTGAGATCAAACCCCTCACACCTGAGAGAACTGTCTCTGTCTGGGAATAAACTCGGAGACTCAGGAGTGAAGCTGTTCTCTGCTGGACTGGAGAATCCTCACTGTAAACTGGAGATACTGTGGTAAGATCATACGTGACTCTCACACGAAACTGTCACTGTGAATTCATAAAGTATAATCAAAATGGAATAAAATGCAGGGAAATAACTATTATTTCAAGCAAAGCTATTAAAACAACATAATCAAATGCATCAAATTATGATTACGTCTGTTCATATGATGTAAGAGAATTAATATTTGTAAAGCGTTTGCTGTATTTCTCCTGCCGCTGTGAGTTCATGTGTTTGATCTGTAAATGCTTGAACGCTTGAGCTGCTCCTCATTAAGGTGATTCTGCAGGACTGATAGTCACACTGAAAAACACACTTTGACATTGTGAAATACATTTTACACCCTTAACTTTAAACACACTCAATCTCAGCACAGTCAGGATTAACACAGTCCATTCATTTTAATTTTAGGGGGAAACTGGATACTGTAAAGATTTTTCTCCAGGTTTAAAGAGCATATTGCAGGTAAAAAAAAAAAATCTAAATTAATATATAACCTTGTATGAAAATACCATATGAAAAGTTAATGCAGGATTTCAAACGTTTTAAAACGATATAAGGGCACTAATTTAGAAGATAAAGTGAGCGTTTCTTGGACTGCTCGTAAAAACCGCTTTTTTTCAACATCGTGTCATTTTACGTCACGACAGGGAGCCTCGGCCTCAGCTCAGTGCAGAGTAGGCTGGTATTCAGTGAGAGCGGTCTTGAGTCAGTGTGTTTTCGGTAGTTTTTGTATTTTAATTTATCATCGTCAAGGTAAATTATTGTGTTTGTGGAGGTTGCAAAAACTCCGGCCTGTCAGGACATCGAGTCCACAGGTTTCCATAACAAGAAAAAGGATGGTGCTGTATATCTTTTGTGCCTGGTGCAGTTTGTGCTGGTGAAGAGACGGGATTTCTCTTCCGCATCGGCTTCAAAAAACGCGGTCGTGTGTAGTGTTCACTTCAGATCGAAAGATTATCATCCCGGCGATATGATGGAGTTTAACATGGGATGCCGAAGCAAGAATATTGATCGTCGTATACTGTACCAATGGCATCAAATAGTGTGATATAGGTAGTCATGCCCTAAATAGAGGCAGCTTGTAATTGAAAAACAAAATTACTAGGTTGTTTAAATATTCAAATCTTTAATTTTCTGTTTATGTTATAACCCAGGTGAAAAATGTGTATTAAAAATGTACTTGAGTATGTTTTTAGTACAATAGAAATATACTCAAGTATAGTTTTTATACATTTAATAGTATAAATCTACCCTAAACATACTAATGTCTGCTGGCCTGATATACGATGGTAATAATCTGTACAATATTGTGAGCACAGTGTATATCGTTAGCGAACGTGTATAATGTTATATCTATAAGCACGTCTCTCACCAAGACACCTGTCCTGTTCTACACTGGTTCTCCTCACACCACAACTCATGGTGTCTCTGACCGTTCTGTCTAACATTAATCCTGGTGTATCCTGCTCTCTTGGCAGCATAGCAGGCTCATAACTGTATGGCTGTGGTCCGTCATACGAGTAAGTGTGAACAATTTCCTCAGCGTCCGAAATGTCATTGCGATCCATTGTTTTCCTGTTGTTTGAATCGACCGCTCTCCCGCCCGTTACGTCACGCCCGCCACGCCCATTTTCAGACGCGGAAGTAAAATTTTCTCACAAAAACGACTCCAGAAGCTTCTGTAGCGTATTTATAAGTAGTATATTGTAAAGAAAATCTAGTTCCTACATTATTTTTCTATACATTGACTCGTTGGGTCCTCTAACCTGCAATATGCCCTTTAAAGTCTACATCATGTCAATGTCACTGATTATGATAGAGAAACACTATAGTCCATCGATGACACGCGTTTTTATCCTATGAGAAGACATTTCTCTTATTCATGACAGCACATGGTGTTTTTCTATGACAGGCGCTTCAACCTGTAAAATCCCGCAGTAGTTTAGAGAGGCGTTCATGGGTCGCAAGTGTGTGTGTCTATAGTGCAAGAGTTGAGGGTGTTGCAGGCTTCCCCCGTGATGCTGTCAGGCCGAGACTCGCTGAGGGCATTTGGTTGGCCAGAAACTACCGACACAATCAAACTGTGTGTGTGTAACAAGCGTTTCTCTGAGGAAATCTTCTCTGTCACTATACATCTTTATTGTCAGTGTCCTGAAGGTATGGCGATTTGTGTTCTACGCAACCGTTTTTTATGAAAGTTGTATGAGAAAATTATTGACATATTTATATTGACATATTGAAAATAGACATTGTGTTCAATGATTTGGTAGGAATTGAACTGTCGGCTCTAAAATCCTCCAGTTTCCCCCTGATATGTAGTGAGAGCCAGCATGAGCAGATCACAGTTGCTCGTTATCATTACGCCTGCTGCACTCATGGTACGGCAGTAAAGTTTCTTGATTATTAAGCAGGAATGAGAGTATAGTTCCTAGCCATATCAGCCTAGAAAATCGCAACTTTACATTTTCCGTCGGTTTTAGTGCACGATGTAACTACAGAAGAGTCAAGTTTTAAATAGGAAAAATATCGAAACTCTTTGGTAATTTTTTTTTTGAGAAATGCTAATGGTCTTGTCCACTTCAATGATGTATGCTAAGCTATGCTAAAAGTGGTACCGCCAGAACCGGAGATCGGCTGAATGGATTCAAAAACGGTAAAACTCAACAGTTTAACTCTGGGGGACTTGTAAAATGAGCCTATTTCCAAAAAAAGTGGAGTATCCCTTTAAAAGTAATACTTGGCGATTCTGCGCATATATCTTTAAGAGCTGGGTCACTCTGCAAGATGTGCCAGTGTTTCTTAATGACATGTTTTATTTCTCCGCCAATATGAGAGAAATCTGTGGAGAAGCAGAGTCTCTGCACTGAGTCGCGTTTAGTTTTAACTAGAAGATGTGCTCGTTGCGTCCATCTGGCTCGTTCATAGGCTGCAGAGATATCACTTAAAGCATAGCCCCTGTTACGAAAGCGCTCTGTCATTTCTATTGCCCCGCGCTCAAACTCGGCATCACTACTACAGTTCCTTCTAAGCCGTAAAAATTGGCCAATGGGAATATTTTTAATAAGTTGTTTGGGGTGATGGCTATCAGCTCTGAGGAGGGTATTTCTACTGAGAGGTTTACGATAGATCGATGTCTCTAAACCTCCTTGGGAATTTTTATAAATAGTCAGATCCAAGAAGTTAATATTGTCTATGGAGTGGTCTACTGTAAATCTTAAAAAAATATGTGGTAGAGTTAATATAGGACATGAATTTATCTAATTCAACCGAAGTCCCCCTCCAAATAAAGAAAACATCATCAATATATCTCTTCCAGTGGCCCGTCTTGCAAAGAAATGTAGTAACGCCTCAGTCCCTGCTTCGTGTGGAATGCATGTATATAAACTTTGCACGTCAACAGCATGAAATCATAGTCACATTGAAACGAATCTAAGAGTCTCAATATGTCGAATGTGTCACCTAAATAAGATGGTAATTCACAAACATATTTTTTCAAGAAGTCGAGATATTGTGACAAAGGTTCAGTTAGACAACCAATACTAGACACTATGGGCCTGAGTGGTGGATCAATCAGGGATTTATGTATTTTAGGAAGTCCATAAAATACGGGACATACAGGATGTTTAACAGTCAGAAAGTCTTTTTCTTTTTCAGTAATCCAGTCCATTTGTAGTGCCTTCACTAATAACTGATCAATCTCCGATTTATGGTGTTCTAGGGGATTACGGGTTAATGGAGTGTAACATTCTTTGTCATTAAGTTGGGACATGATACTCAAGTTGTATTTATCAGTATTCATTACAACAATCGAACCCCCTTTATCAGCAGGGCGAATAAGAATATCTGATCTCTTTTCTAATTCATTCAAACTCTTTATTTCGGATTGTGACAAATTAATTCTTTTTGGGGTGCTTTTTTGCATATCTTAGTAAATTCATTTTCCACTAGATTTTTGTATGTAATAATGGAAGGGTTCAGATTCGAGTAGGGAACAAAAGTAGATTTCTTTCTGAAAGATGTATTCTCTCTGATAAGTGACTGTGTTATCAACAGTAGAAATTGACCGCACAGAGTTACCGATAATAGGCCTCAATAGACTAGATTTAGGGGAGAATTTTTTTTTTTGTTGGAGTGATCGGAAGAATTTAAAAGTATCTACCTTGAGTTTGAATGGATTCACAGCGTTAGTGGGGCAAAAAGATAAACCTTTGCTTAACACTTCCGTCTCTCCCTCAGTTAGATTCAATCCCGAGATATTAATCACAGTCTGTTCAGGTTGCGTGGGTTGCGTGGGGAGCGGCGCGTTGGTTCTGCTGGATAGATTCTGCGACCTCTGCTTCCTCCTCGAACCTCTCGAGCCCCTCCTTGTCCGTTTAAACGAGGAGGCTTGGCGTTGGGAAAAAAATTCATAGTACTTTCCGTGTCGCTGGTTTGAGGAGAGTCCCATTCACTGGCGGAAGTGGAGAGCCGGTTTCTGGTGTTACGTTGACGCGCAGGGCGGGGTTTACGAAGTCGTCTTTGTTCGTCTGCCCAATGATAACCGATCCTTCTACATAATCCTTAGTGTCTCGCTCGTACTTCTTCATTTTGTAGCTTTGTAAATCCTTTTGAAAGGAAATAAGAGAGATAGCGATCTTTGTTGGTGATTGTGTCGAAGGTCTCTATATCGACTTGCGTCTTAATGCACGAGCACATCTTCTAGTTAAAACTAAACGCGACTCAGTGCTGAGACTCTGCTTCTCCACAGATTTCTCTCATATTGGCGGAGAAATAAAACATGTCATTAAGAAACACTGGCACATCTTGCATCTTGGGTTTTTACAGATGTGGGCACTGTACCCATTGCTCTAACTCAAATGATACAAAGCAATTTTTCCATCCCCAGTCAGGTAAAAAATACAAGATCAATTCATTTATTAATTGTAACACCACCCACGTGATTTACATGTTGGAATGTCCATGTGGATTGGTATACGTAGGTCAGACTAAACGCCCCCTCAAACTACTGT